CTTAACTTGCCCAGAGCTCATCATCCTTTCCAGATCTATTCCTCTTTCCCTGTTTCAGCAAATTATATTCATTCATTCGCCCAAGCCTGAAAGCTAGAGTCATCCTAGACACCTTCCTCTCTCCACTCAATAAAGTAGTAAGTCTCAAATTTTTCTGTTTCCTAGGTATGTCTCAGTTTGGCCCACTTCCCCCCCACGGCCGTTTCCACCGCACTGGTCTCCATCCTAGTCTAACCTACCGTGGCTTCTCACATGGAATACTGCAGCCGGCTCTTCCCTGGTCTCTGCCTCCTCGCCCTCCTCCTGTGACTGAATTCATCTGGAGCACTCTTCCTATGACACAGGCTGGTGATTCATTCTTCCCCCATCCATACTGAATTCCTTTTAGGTTCTGCAGATGTCACTCTCTCTCTAGTCTCTGAATCTTTGCCATGCTGTTCCCTCTGCCTAGAAGAGCTCACTTGTGCACTCCTGTCTCCTCACCTTGCTGACACTACCTTTCCCTTCAGGCTTTAATAGAGATCTTACTTTACCTGGGAAGCCTTCCCAGAAACTGAATCTGGGACAGGTTTTTTTGTTTTGTTTTGTTTTGTTGTTGTTGTTGTTTCTTTTTTCTGGGCTGCCAGAGTAAACCAGTAGCATTTACCACACCATTGGGTAATTATCTGTTAATTGGCCTCTATCTCCTTTTAAGTTTAAGTATCTAAGAGGGAAGGGACCCAAGGGTGCCTAGGTGGCTCAGTTGGTTAAGAGTCGGCCTTCAGCTTAGGTCATGATCTCAGGGTCATAATCTCCTTCTGCCCTTCCTCCTTGCTAACGCTCACTCTGTCTCTCTCAAATAAATAAAATCTTTAAAAAAAATAAAGAGGGAAGGGACCCTACCTTTCTTGTCTAATATTTAATCCCTGGGACCCAGCACAGTGACTGGCACATAGTAGGTGCTCAGGAAATATGTGTTGAATGAATGCATAATCGGATGAGTATAAGATATGGAATCTGAAAAGGCTGGCCCTAAATCCCCATGGGAAGTTTAGTAAGTCTTTTTTGAGTCCGTACCTCAATTTCCTCACTTGTAATGTGAAAATATACAGTTGATCCTTGAACAAGGCAGGTGTTATGGGTACTGAGCACCCCCCATAATTGAAAATCCTTACATAACTTTTGACTCCCCCCAAACTGAACTACTAATAGCCTACGGTTGACTGGAAGGCTTACTGATAACATAAACAGTCAATTAACACATATTTTGTATTAAATGTATTATACAGTGTATTCTTAGAACAAAGAAAAAGAAAATGTTATTAAGAAAGTCATAAGGGAGGCGCCTGGGTGGCTCAGTCGTTAAGACTCTGCCTTCGGTTCAGGTCATGATTCCAGGATCCTTGGGTCAAGCCCGCATTGGGCTCCCTGCTCCGCGGGGAGCCTGCTTCTCCCTCTCCCACTCCCTCTGCTTGTGTTCCCTCTCTTGCTGTGTCTCTCTCTGTCAAATAAATAAAATCTTTAAAAAATGTCATAAGGAAGAGAAAAATACATTTATAGTACTTTACTGTATTGAAAAAAATTCATGGGTTTGAACAGAGCAGATCCACTTAGACATGGATTTTTTTCAATAAATATACATACAATACTGTAAATGATATTTTCTCTTATGATTTTAATAACTTTTTTAAAGATTTTATTTATTTATTTGACAGAGAGATACACAGCAAGAGAGGGAACACAAGCAGGGGGAGTGGGAGAGGGAGAAGCAGGCTTCCCGCCGAGCAGGGAGCCCGATGCGGGGCTCGATCCCAGGACCCTGGGATCATGACTGGAGCCAAAGGCAGACGCTTAATGACTGAGCCACCCAGGCACCCCTTAATAACATTTTTTAATCTGGCTTCCTTTAATTGTAAGAATTCATTATATATCCCTTCCCCTAGAATTTGGGCTCTGTGATTTCTTGACCAAAAGATCATGACAGAAGTGATGCTGTGATAATTTGGGGGGTTCAGGTCTTAAGAAACCAGTGACTTCTATTTTGCTTCTCTCGGGATGCTTGCTGGTGGAACCCAGACACTTTGCCATGGGGAAGCTGCTTCTGGAGAGGCCCACATGGAGAAGATTCAGGCCTGCAGGACTGCAGCCCACAGCTGAGGCTGAGCTCCCAGCCAGCAATCATCACCAACTAGCCAGCCCTATGAATGAGCCATCTTGGAAGTGGATCTTCCAGCCCTGTTTGAACGTCCATCCCCATGCTGGGGAGATCCTTCCTCTCTGAGCCTGGCCTAAGTAGCAGATTCTGGGGCTAAATAATTGAATGTGGTTGTTTTATGATCTAAGTTCGGGGGTGGTTTCCTATGCAACAAGTGATAACCAGAACAGATTCTGCTACCCGCAAGTGGGATGTTCCTGCCACATAGCGTGCAGCATTCGCTTTGGCTTTGGGACCTGGCAGCTGGCGGAAGTCAGAAAGGCCTCCGGGGGCGGGGGGGGGTAGGAGGTTGGTGAGGAGGGCTTAACAGGGCTGGGAAAAATGTTATCGGGAGCTAGAGGAACTGAGAGTCTAGTTACATAGGGAAGTTTGGCATCTCTGTTGCCATTGCCTCCTGTAATGCAGAAAATAGAAAGTATACTTCATGAACTCAGTGACCTAGCTAAGGAGTTTTCTGAGCTGAGTCTCCAAAGTGCTGCCTGGCTTCTTCTAGCTGCACAGCCAGTTTTTACCACGATACACGTGTAGTCATGTCGTCAGAGACACTGTGCCCAGGCACCAAGTCATATACACCCTATGGCTTCTCCAGGTCCTCGAAGGGTCAGCCCTGGCACAGTGAGACTGGATAACTCGTCCTCCAGGCTGCTCCCCTCTCTCGGGGAAGGTGACACACGGAAGGCCAACAGTGTCAACATTGCCATCTTAGATGACCAGAAGCAGGTCAGAAGACCAGCTCCCTCAAAATCGGCTTTCCTCACTCTTCCGTACTGTCACTTCTCCTTGCTCCCATGATTTTCATTACATACATAGTAAAACATGTTTAAAATATATGCAAACGTTACAAAGAATAACCAACCCTCCCCTCCACCATAACCACAATCCTGAAATTTGTTTATCTTTCCCTTGTTTTCCTTTACAGTTTTCCTACACGTGTGTGTATCCCTACTGGTATATTTAATTTTGCTTGTTTCTGTAGTAACAGACATAGAATCATAAAGCATGCCATCTCTTCTGCCTTGCTTTATTCTCTCAACGTTATGTTCATGGGTTTCACCCACTTAGTTTTTGTCTTAATCTTTGTAACCAATCTATAAAATAATTGATAACTTACTATGTTCTGGCACAATGTGTTGTGCATATCAGGTGATAAATAAACACTGTGTGATAATGCTTTGTAGGGTATGTCCACAGAATAGCCAGCAGCTCATTATCATGCAGGTATCCTTGCCACACTGGTGAACAGGAATTTCCGGATGAGGTATAAAATTTTCAGGCAAAGGCAAAAACTGGATCACTTGGTATAAATCTTTGCAATGGCTGGATACTCCCCAAGTCCATAAATTCATTATTTAATTTGACAACTTCATTTTCTAAGAAAAACAATTTTCTTGGAGCCTGGGTGGCTCAGTCGTTAAGCGTCTGCCTTCAGCTCAGGTCATGATCCCAGGGTCCTGGGATCGAGCCCCGCATTGGGCTCCTGGCTCAACGGGGAGTCTGCTTCTCCCTCCTCCCCTCACCCCAATCTCATGCTCTCTCTCTCATTCTTTCAAATAAATAGACAAATAAATAAACTTTTTTTTTAATTTCTAGCAAGAAAAAAACTAATAAAGCTTGAAAAGTCCATCTTTCACATCATCCCTGCCTAGATGTCTTTCATTAGTGCAAAGAAGTGAGAGCAAACCATCAGTGAAGGAATGGAGAAAATCCGTCTCACCTACTCCTTTAAGTATTTAGCATAAGTAATATTGAAAAATCTTTCCCACAATGCAAAGATGAAAACAAAAATAGTTGTTAATCCTCTGAACATCAGACTAATAGTATTTCTCCAGGGATTAGAGCATTTGTTTCTCCGGTCAGTCACCACTGGGGTTTTAGCTTCTTGGTGCTCATCTTTACTGCCTTTGGCAATCATCTTTTGAACTTTAAAAAATTCTGATGTTTGTGTCTCGGGAGATCCTGATGATCCAGGGTGCTGCCGGGGCCTGGGGATTTTTTAAAAAGCTCCAAAGACTCTTATATGCAGCAGAGTTTGAGAGCCTGTCGTCAGCCACTTTGTCCTCCACCCACAGTGTCTAGCACGGTGCCTGCTGGAAAGTGACACTCAGAATTAATAAATAATGTTCTATTTGTCAGGAAGGAGAAGCATAGTCTCCAGTGTCCGAATCACAAGCTCTCTAGGCACTCTGGGCAAAGACAATGAGGAGGCACTAACTAGAAAGTGTCCATCCTGAAGCTCAGGTACCGTCCAGCTATGTCCAGAAGGCCTCAGAAATTCATTAAGAAGTTCAAGGGGTGCCAGACTGTTCCTGTTTCCACAAATGAGGCAGAGGCTGAAAAAGCAGGTGTGGGTACTTTGAACTTCGGCCCCAGTCGAGTCGACTCTAGAGTCAACCCGGGATCCTCTCTCGGCTCCAAACTCTGGTGTGGCAGCTCTTCCCGCATGCGGAGAAGGGCGCGATTGGTGGTGGGCACCACGACGAGCCGGGGTAGGCCTGTTCAGCCCCGCGCGCTGCGAGACAGCAGCTGCGCAACCACCCGCGGTTGCACGTGGCGCGGCTGCAGCCGCAGTCCAGGGGCGCGCAGCGGCGGGCGTGGCGGGGGCGCGGACTACAAGTCCCGGCATGCCTCGGGTAGGGGCGGGTCGGCGCCGAAGCCGGGCCCGGAGGCCAGCCAGGCTCAGGCGTGCGCAGTGGTTCTCGGGAGTGGCGGGGCGGGTCCTCCCAGGCTGTCAGCTGCGGCCCGGGGCGCCCGGGCGGCGGTGGTCGCGGCCATTGGCGGAGAGGCGGGAGGGGCGGGGCCCCCGCGAGCCGCTGTGGGCAAAGCTGTGCGCGCGGAGGCAGGCAGGCGGCCGGCTGGGGAGGCACGGGTCGGGCTGCTGCGTTCCATCCTGGCCATGGCAGCGGCGCCCCTGAAAGTGTGCATCGTGGGCTCGGGGAACTGGTGAGCGGCGGCGGGCCGGCGGCGCGGGCTCCGCCTCCAGGAAGCCCCTCTCCCGGGCGGGCTAGGGCCGCGCGTCCCCGCCGCAGCGTGGGCACCGGGCACCGCGCGCAGGGAGGCGGGGCGGGCGGCCTCGCGGCCGGGCTGGGCACCGCGCACCCGGGGAGGCCGCGCCGAGACACTGGCCCGGGAGGCCCTGGGCCCGCGTGCCCGCGGAGGGCAGCACGGCGAGAGGGTACTGCGCGTCCGCGGGCACCTGTCTGCGCTCTCGGCACCGCGCGGCGGGCGCACGGAGGCCACCTGCTCGCCACGCCCGGGTGTTTTGCGCACCATTCTAAGACCGTTCTCCAGTCTCCTGGGTGGATCGCCTGGGTCGAGGAATCGGTGGAGACTCGAGCATTTTGGCCGTAGTATTGAGGAAACTGAAGCAGAGAGGGGCTAAAGGGCCCTTGCCACCCAGGTGGTGGACGGGACCGGCTCTGCCTTTCCAAGTGCGGGTCTCGCCCACCGCTTCTGATACGTCCAGTATCTTAGGAAGGTTATGCAGATAAGAAAATCCAAGTTCCAACAGGCCCGGCTCCCGGAGTGGTCCAGGGGCGTTGGGAATTCTCTGGAGGGTTATTTGCGAAGTTTCGCATCTCCGCTAGGCTTTATTTGACTTTTAACATTTATACAAGCACTTTGTGACAGGCTCTCCTTTGAGCACTTTGTAAACGTCAACTCTTTTAGTTCCCTTTATCAAACTTTGCTACTCTGGTGTGTTGGGTGAGTGTAGAGGAAAGTGAGGCCCGGTGGGTGGGAGGAAGCAAAATATAATAGCCTCTGATATTTGCAGTCATTTTTCCATTGTTGTGCCCTTTTTTTCCGCACATCGGAGGGACTGGTATAGAATAGTTCAGAGCTGGGTCCTTTTCAGTGCTTGTGTTTCTCTGTGGCCCGACACTCATCACAGTTCAGGCTTCTAGGAGAGCTACAGTATTAGGAGTGGTCTAATTACTTGTCTTTGTCTTACTCTTTGACTTGGCCCAGAGAGTTCCTGGAGGAAATCTTACCTGGTTCTCCACTTTTCCATCCCAGTGAGGCCACTGGCCTCTCCCTGTGCCACACCCCTGTCCCCATCAGGCAGGGTAATGATTTATTTCATTATCTGTTTCCACTCCTCCCTATCCAGCTCTTGAGAACAGCCATCTACCCTAGTGCTTGGCATATGCTAAATAAAAATTAAATGAATGTTTGAAAACTAATTTAAAAAATGTAATTATATTTGATGAGGTAATATTTCACATTACAAAACCAGAAGGTACAAAAAACCAATGAAATATCTGACACTCACACTTGCGCCCCAGGATATCTCCTGGAAGAAAACCAGTAATTAATCAGTTTCTTCTGGCCTTTCTGAAGGATATTCCATCAGATGCCAACAAATGCTTACATATATTCCTTTCCCTCTCTGCCCTGCAAATACTAGGATATTATGTACTTTACTGTAAACTTCTTTTTTTTCGGTCAGCAACAGAATCTTATACACACTTAGTGGAGTTGGTACCTATCCGCTGCAAAGCTCCATTTGGACTTCCAGGTTGGCTTTGCCAGTTTTGATCCCAAGGTGACTTTGAATGAGATTACAGTGGCCTGTTGGCCATGGGACTGGAAAAGTTCTCCTTTAGCACGTGTTCTTTTAACATTAGTTTCCTCTTCTGTAAGAGGACACAGAACCACAGATGACAGAGCCTTTTCCTAATTTGCAAGGTGCAGAAGGAGCATGGCATGCCATGCTGGATTTGGGCCTGGAGTGGAAGTAGTGAAGTAAACTCCTGCCCCCTTCCAGTGGGATTTGGCTGCCTTCCCACGGCTTCACTCTGATGTACTTGACTCTTTTCTTGGCCCACTCCAGCCCAAGGAAATGGAGTAGAACTTGGCTAGTGACCTTAGAGCGCAGCAATTGAGAATGTGCCATCCTCATAGTTTGGGCTGGGTGCCCAGCTCCATTAATTATGGGAGCAGACAGGAACATTGTTGCTTGCACTCCAGTCCTAGAGAGAGGATCATGACCTCCCCAGAGAGATTTCAGAAATTTGGGAACTGAAAACAGCATGGAGAGGCTTCCTTGGGCCTGGGGGGTATTCAGCTCTGGTCAGCAGGCATTTCCAGTGACGCAGGCACAACGGTACAGAATCCCTGCCTATAAGGAATTTACCTTCCGGGCTGAGATAAATTGGAAGATAAAATCAGAAGAAATGGAAAGGGGAATGAAATATCTCACAAGGTTAGTTAGACGTTACATTTTTAAATAGTGTTGCTTAAAGTGTGATCTGAGGACCGCCTGCATCAGAATGACCACTGAGGCTACGCTTGCTGACTCATCTGCCCTGAGGGTGGGACAGATTTTTCCTTACCGGACTTTGGCCTTCTGCTAATTTTGAAATATTATCTAGAGATGGACCTGCCCTTGCAGATTTGGTTCTTAATTCAAGAATGTGAAGTTGCTTAAAGCAGTGTTTAAACTTGGGACTTTGAAGTAGCTGAGCGTGGCTGTGTAAATAAAGGTGTCTAAACCCATAGCTAAAAGGTGGCTATAGTGCTCACATTTGAGTGCCCTCCCCTATATAAATGATCATTAATTGCAATACAGATAATGAATCTAGCTGACTTGGCCAGTACTTCAGCCTGGAATGACGGGGGTAATGTCAAGGGGTTGTGTAACACACGCTTGTCATGTCCTTTGGCACCTCCTTTCCTATAGACAGGTCAGAGAGGAGGCCAGAGAGGGCTCTCATGCATCCAGCTGAGCCCCAAGAAGCTGCCCACCACCTGGGGTGCAGGGAGGTGTTTCCTGACCTGCCTGGATTTTTATGGCCCTGGGAATTCAGAAAACAACAAAAAGAAAAAACAAACAAACAAAAAACAAATGTAAATCTTCATAAGGTCTTCCAAAGATGAAACAAAGTTTCCTTACCAGAACTTAAGGAAAATGACCCAGACACAGGGCAAGATCTCATTCGAGCACTGAAACCTCAGGGCTGTAGTTACAGCCAAACCTCTGCGGTAGTACGGAGCATATGTCCAATCCCCCAAACCCTTGTGGAGGCAGGGTAATGCAGGAGGGGCTGGGGATTCCCACTCCTTGGGTTTCATTCCTGGTCCCCTATTTGGCAATCATAAGGCCTTGAGCAAACTGCTTCTTCAAGAATCACTGATTGTGATATTTGTACCTGCTGTCTAGGATTTTGATTAGGATGAAATGACATGAGCCGGGGAGAGTACAAAGTGACCAGCACTCAGTAGACATCAGCTACTGCTATTGGGTTTATTTGATCAACCTTAACCAGCACCATCAGGTCACCGAATGGATCCAGTTGGATTCTGACCAAGAAGCAGAGGCAGAGAAGAGATAGAAGGTGAAAGACAAAGAGTAACTGATATGCAGCTGGCGGAGTTGGGGGAGTAGTTTCTCTCTTGCTCTGTTTTCACCATCACCCCACAGCTGGACTGAAGGGCAGGGGGAGCTTTAGCCTACTTTGCACTGATGACCAGAACTGGATGTGGGTGACTTAATCTTTTTTTGGTCTGCTGGAACCATCTGAGTGCGGCATTGCAGCCCTTAGCCCAGCTCTGTCACCCTTTTGTCTGTGCTACTCAGTTTCTGTGGTGATTCTTGCTACATGCCCACATGGAAGCAGTCTGAGCCGCTGTAAATGAGCTCCCCTGAGGGCAGAAGTAATCCCTTCCCTGTCCATAGGTGCCACTGACATACCTCTGCTTTGGGAGCCACAGGGATAGTTGAATGATAGGATGGGTGGGAGCTGAACTGGGAAAAGATCCAGAGTTCCCTTGTGAGCCAGAGTGAGAGTTTGTACAACTAAAACCCAGAAAAAGCCCTGATGCTTAACTATTTCCATCACCTCTGTCCCCTGTTCGGTACAGAAGGACCCCAACTTAACGATGGTTCCGCTACACTTTTCCAACTTTATGATGGTGCAAAGGTGATGTGTATTCAGTAGAAACCATACTCTGAATTGTGAATCTGGATCTTCTCCCAGGTTGGGGCTACGCAGTGGATCCTCCAACGTGATGCCGGGCACCCGCTGCAGCACCCGGTCAGCCACCGATCACAAGGGTGAACGAGTGGTACACGGACAGCAGTATTCAATCAATTACCCGAGCTAGTCAACACTTCATTGTGAAATAGGCTTTGTGTCCAATGATTTTGCCCAACCGTAGGCTAATGTAAGTGTTCTGGGCATGTTGCTGTTCAGCTAGGCTAAGCTATGGTGTTCGGGAGGTGAGGGGTACTAAATACATTTTAGGATATTTATAACTTAACGATGGGTCTATTGGGACATATCCCCATTGTAAGCTGAGGAAGATCTGTATATAAACCATGGCTGTTTTTGTAGGGGTAAGTCAGGACCTCGCAATTCTCCTCCCTGAGCGTTTCACCACTGTCATTATCATTCTCTTCACTTCCTCCCTGGGAGGTCGATTTCCAGTTCCAAGTGTCAGATATGTATGTTACCTCATTTAAACCTCATAACAAGCCCAAGCAATACTATTCTCCCAATTTTAGATGACAGAACGGAGATGGAGGGAAAACATTACGAGGTCGGTGGTTAATAAGGTGGAGTTGAAGCCCAGATCCTTCTACATCTAAGGGCCCTGTTTCTATATATTCTTGTCATTTTCAGTGAGAAGCATACTTTACCTGAGGACAAATCTCATCGTCACAGAAATATTAAATACCTTATATCTTACCCTCCCAACAAAAGTCTAGTATAACAATATTCCACTTAAGAAAAATCAAATTGAGGGGGGCCTGGCTGTCGATCTTGGGGTTGTGAGTTTGAGCCCTATGTTGGGTGTAGAGATTACTTTAAAATCTTTTAAAAAAAGAAGGAAGGAAGAGGGAGAGAGAGAAAGAAAAAGGAAAAGAAGGAAAGAAAGAAAAGGAAAGGAAGGAAGGAGGGAGGAAGGAAGGCAGGCAGGAAGGCAGGCAGGCAGGCAGG